TACATGATTAATTTTTTTCGTTGGGATTAGGCAAGAATGATAATGGTTTTCTGATTATATAATTGTTTGTTGAATTGTGTTTCAGTACAATTTTATCCGAGGTAGACGATAATGGCGAAAAGCATGTTATTCTCTGTCGAGTTATATTGGGCAAATGTGAAAAAGGTCCCGGCAGGGTCTCGGCAGTTGTATCCTTCGGGTGTTGATTTTGATACGGGGGTGGATGATCTTAACAATCCCAAGTGGTATGTGGTGTGGTGTGCAAACATGAACACTCATATTCTTCCCGAGTGCGTTGTGAGCTACAAATCTTCTCTCAGTGTTCCCGGTAAATTTTGTTCTCTCTCTGCGTTTGCCTTCTATGCATCTCAATGTCAATTTGGGAAACTTAGTTTTCCTTCATTACATTTTAGGTCAATTTAATGGATCATCATCTATGAAGTGGGTCCCTCGTGCATTGCCGTTGGTTGGAAAGTTATTTTCCAAGCTGGAAAGTTCTCTCCCTCCTGCCAAAATTCGGGAATTGCGAACCTTATGCAATATATTTAAGGTAAATGCCGATTGAATTTTGTTTTTCAAAGTTTCTATGTTACCTATTTTGTGATATTGTATGAGAAGCGAAGATAATGATTCTTGATGAACTTGGTTCACAGGAAAAAAAATTAAGGAAAGAGATTTTCATGAAAGGGTTACGATCAGTTGTCGGGGACGAGATGCTGCGGTCGACTATCCATGAAATTCGTGGCAGTGAATGAGGTTTTTTAGTTTTGTTATTGTCATGGATTGTCCATACTATAGAAATTAATGTAATGATACCCAATCACAGGGTGTTTAAAGAGAAAAGCCTCAGAAATAGGAAAGAAGATAGACTTTCTTTTTCAGGTTTGGCTTTTTTTTTTTTGCAATCTCTATCCCCAACCAGTACTTATGTAATTACTATGACTCGAGTTCAATGGAAAATTCTCTTCTTTGTTATTGAAATGCTGTAAATGCTTTCCGAGGATGCGATTAGCCTTTTGTTCTCTGTTGAAACCTTTATACGATAAACACAACTTCTAAGGATGATGGGTGATGTTGGTTCTCGCTTTCCCTCTCTGTCTTGTATGTTGTGAGAAAGTGTCTGCTTCGCTGCATGCATACTGTGTATCATATTTTCTCTTACATATTTGTTGCACTTAAGCTTGGCTGCATCGCTTGTTTCAGTATTTGTGTAATCTTTAATGACTGGCACATGGATAAGAATTTAATTTGTAGCAAATGATTCAGAATTTTCGTTTTGAGTGGTGGTGGAGTAGGTGGTATTTTTAATAAGTATTTTATCTTCAGATCTACGTGGTGAAACATTGAAACCGTAAAATGTATCTCTCAAAGTCTTCGTATTTGTGGAGGTCCCAAAAAGAAGAGCTATTATTTCATAATCTCTTGGTAGGAAATGTGTTGTGATGATATTCTATGTATTATGTTGTTTGTTTCAAATTATACTGTCCAAATTATGGAGTACAGGAATAATTTCTCTAGATAAAGTTACAATTGCTGTTATTTTGTTGCACATTCTTAATTTTTACCTATGAGACATTATATGTTGTATGTGATGCCTACACACTACACAGCATCCTTGGTATCAAGAAGAAAATAAATGCATACTTCACGGGATAATTTCTGCAATTGAATGAGGCAACGATCTTCAAGTTGACGAACCTGAAACAATAGGATTAGAAAAAAGGGGGCCAGGCGTGTGCCCGGCTAAACCTCTCCGACGCTTAAGTCAGTATAAGATCGAAGGGTTTTGCTTAATGGACTATTTTTCTAGTTCAAGTTTGCGTACCTTTGTCTATTTTTCTGAGGAGTATTTATACCTGAATTAGCAATGATTGCCAAAGATCTTCAGTTTCATCTGGACATCTTATATCTGACATACCATTCCTTGTGCAATGAGTATTTTCTATTCACGTCTCTTCTTATTGAATGCTAGGAAAATGGTGTAAATGCTCGGTCATGTGCTGAGCATTTATGCCACTCCTCGAGTACCCAAATCTCCTAGATCGGCATTTGACATCAACTGATCATTGAATACTCAGGGGGAACAGTTCCTCGGGAGAGCCGATTGCGTTGTCTCGGCGCATCAGTCATTAATGCTTAGTCATCATGACAGTAGGCTTAGACTCTAGAGGACAGGTGCTGGCAGGTGCGCATTTATTTGTCTTATCACTATCACTCATTTCGCCATAAATGAGGGGTCATATCGCATTAAATACGATGTCAGTTCTCGTACTTAGCTGCTCCGTGTCACCATACTTCAGCTTACCATCTCGGCACCCTTTGGACTTCCGATCGACTTCATAATTCCACGTGTCAACCTGGGGTTGTAGAGCCACCTAGAGTCCGCCAACTGTTCAAGTGGCTGGTGGGTACCTCCTCCATTACGTCCCAGAGCTTATATGGCAAGGGGGAGACGACTCTCTTCCGATGTAGGACGAACGCGCTCCTGCGGGCCGAAGAGAGATAAAAGCTACTGGCACAAAGCTCAGGCTTACGCCAGGTCAGCCAAAATTCTTCCGTGGGGGGAAGACATGCCGAACGCGCGAATAAATCCCCTACACATACTTTTTATTTCTTTAATTTGAACATCTTAGAAGTGATTAAACATTCTTTCCACTTTTGTTTGCCTCTTTTGTTTCTATCTAAATTACATGCTATTTCTTTTTGTCCTTTTGTTCAAGGAAACTTTCTATTGTATCTCTAGGTGTAATAGTGGTGTAAGAAGCAAAATCTCTTAGAGTAATTTTTGGGGAAGATGAATAAGAATTAAACTGTTGGTTCTACAAAACAACCAAACTGCCAGAAATTGGGGTAGGCCGGTACGAGGCATTCCGATGCCCAAGTCAAAAATGACTTAAAAAGAAAACAAAGTAATTTGCAGGAATTCTTGTGTGTAACAATATGCCAAATGTTTTCTTTTGATCGAGGCAATATTTTTCTCAATTCATCCTCGTCTAACTTTCTTGCTTATTGATGGATCTCCATAACGGGTTATTGACGCGTAGTGTTGTTGATTCAGCCGTTATGGAACTTCGGCCCTTTGAGCCGAGCGCTTGCCGTCTGATCAGTTTGATTGTGGTGGATATTGTTTCTCTCACGTGTTTCAACGCACAAAGTGTTCATTAACTGTCCCAATCATGTGCAGTTGTTTTGTGTCCTTTCAAGTGGTATGAGAAAAAATTGGTTTACATTTATTGAACAGGTGTATTACAATAAGATGTTCAGCGGTTGTACTGTGAAGAAGCTGAAGGTCGATTCATACAAGATTTACATGGATGAGTTGGAAATTTTGAAAGAATATGGAAGATATGGAATGCAATATCATATTTATAAAGTTTTTTTCAGAGTAATATTATAAGTTTGTCATCTGTGTGAGGTATGTGTTATGCCTGGGTGATGTTAACTAGTAACGAATATGCGTCCATTTTCCATTTTTAAATTGAACCTTGCTGCTCCTTCTGTGGAGGTAGCTGAAGATATTACTTCAGCTCACCACTTGTGGTGAGATCTTGGATGTGTTCAATCAATATTCATGGTGTTTGAAACTTAGACTGGCATTGCACTACCAAAGTTCTCTGTAAGGAAAAATATGTAACATCTGAAACATACCATCACTTGGCCTTCCCAGTTGTCTGAGTAGCTTCCTAATTTCAGCATGTTTGGTTTGTTGTTCTCAGTTGTTTGTTACGTTGCATGTTGTGTTATATATACTTAATTTAGTCGTGCATTAAGGTTTAGCTATAAATTCAATGCACATTGGCAGGTTTTTGGTATATGGAACATCTGATCTGGAGGTTGTTTACATAGGTTCTATTGCTATTTATTGATTATCATAGCTGTTGATTCGTATTTTGAAATTGGTGACAGTTTAGCAAGCAGGATTTGCTTAGTGATGGTAGAGGAAAGGAAGATAGTATAAGCAGATCATAGCAAATCCAACGCAAGACATCAAGGTATGAAGGGAGGAATATCGGAATAAATTTTCTTAATATCATTATTATTAAAATATGTTTTGTAGATTATAACTTTTATGCCCTTTCCTTTGTAGTCTTTTGTCACTACTTGTAGGAATCAAATTCCATACAAGGGATGAGCCTAAACAAGTTGACTTGTAGATAATGAGGCCATCTAATGTAATATTAATGCATCTTTTTTTTTTGTTTTGCTCTTGTTTGTTAATCCATATTTGATACTCTATTAATTCGTTGTAGGACTTGAAGGCCAAATCGGCTACAACTCCCCTACATGTGGACGACCCATCTTAGTAAGTCCTCCGTATAATCGCTTCTTTTTAATTACTTCTCTTTTTCTCTCTCGATTCTTGCAACTTAATTCTTCAAGGCCACATCTTGGAGACTTGCTTCATGCTTTTACTACATACTGAATCCCCCTGTAGCCGGGGGCTCATTTTCATCAGTGGGAAGGGGGGACTAGCCATGCCCCAATCTGCAAAGGCCAGCTTTATGCCTTCACTTGCAACTTGCTTTGCTCCCACCTTCCGAAGAATCAAGGGTCCCAAACCTTATTCCATAGTCAAAATCTGTGTGGTGTCAAATCAAAAAAAACGATTTGTTGACCTATAAACTTAACTCAGTTGGTGGGTTGGTGGATACGGTTCTTGCAACTTGCTTTTGCTCCCACCTTTCTAAAAACAAAAAAACTTGCTTTTGCTTCCCACAGTAGAATTGCTCTTTATGCGATCGCTGTCATTGACACTTGGTCTTTGTCAATAGTCAGTGATCATATGTACCTAACATCTGGTCTTTTCTCAAGAGCCAGACATCATTAGTACGTACCTGGCCTCTGGTCTAAAAGTTTCTTGGTTAATTAACTAATTAAATGCACTATTTGCTTGTCTTGTATGTATTGCCAATTTTCCATTATCCTATAATCTATATGAAGCCTCCTTGGGGTCTTCTATGCATCCAATGTGACATGCTATGTTTTCTCCCCCATTGCTATTAGGTGCATCTGTCACACCCCCGACACACGCCTTGGCCTTGTGTTTTTATAACTGAAAATAGGTGACCTAAACGCCGTTGTCCAACTAATCCAATAGGCACCAGTTCACATGAGCTACTGGAAAGTAAGCAATGTTCTTATCTTTCTTAAGATCGATTTGCCTTAAAGTAGTCGAGGACGTGTATATTAGAGCAATCCAAGAGTAACCATAAGAACTGCTTGTATCTTAGTACAGGCATGAGTTTTTTGCCAAAGAAGATTTTGTCTCTCTTCTTTGGGCTGCTCTCAGACAATCTGAGGCCATTTTCATCTTTGGGCTCATTAATAAAGCAGGCACCCAGCAAGGGATGCTCATATTTTGGGTGAGTAATAAGGCATGGGCTTGTGAACACTCCAAAAACACCCAAAGAACCAGGTGGGGTCGTTCAAAATTTTAATTATCCGTAAATTTTGATTTTACCCTAGTCTATTTGATCATATTGATCGGCTATTCAAAAAATTCGGGTAGGAATATAAAATACTTATAAAATTTTTGTATTTCTACTTTACCCTACCCGCATATATATATAATGCTTAAAATTAAAATCTAAAAATTTAGAAAGCCTAATGTTTCATTAATGTTTATGGCTTTCTTATATATGATGCATTAATTTTTATGACTTCTTGTGTTTTATTGTAATTATTTATGTATTATCGAATTTATTGTGTTTTCTTTAGTGTTATTGGTTTATTGTGTTAGTTAATTGGTGCAGGT